TCAACTAAATCAAGAACAGAATTGGGGCTTGACTTCTCTGTATCATCACAGTCTGCTTTGACTTTCATTTTGTGCACCAAATTACAATCTTTTTCTTCTTTCATCTTCCTCTTGAATCTCTCTTGCCTGCAATCCTCTTTCTTCTTCGTATTCCTCTTCTGAACAACCTCCTTTCGGGCGCGAGGCTGCACAGTTGATCCGTGCGTTGGTTCTTGAGCCTTCTCTCCATCCTTCCCAACAATAATCTCAGAAGTCTTGTTTTTAATCTCACTGGACTTCCGGTAAACACTTTGCCTTCTTCTGTTGGGGCTGTTTTTAACTTTCCCACACTCTACACTCTTTCTTCCTCCATGTTCAAAGCTAAGAATGAAGAAATTCTCATCTTCTAGCTCTAAGTAGGTGGGAATTTCGCGAAAGCTACGAGCTTTTAGAGGAATCTCCTCCTTATACTTGGGTTCTCTCAGACAATCCATCGAGCGGCTTCGAGTAACACAATTTGAACTGAAATCAGTTCTGGGCGGCATTGATTCCAAGCCCATTAGCTTAGCTACAACCCCTGTTCTTCTCCCCGCCTCTTCGGGTTTTGTTTGCTTCGGCTTCTCAACTATGTGATCAGGAGAAGGGTGTTTGGGGATCGAATCGGAGCAAAGAAGACGGCGAAACATTCTGCAAATACATCCCGGAGGGGCATTCTTGGAAGGCATTGCCACCGGTGTATGAAGAAGTTAGAGGAGGAAGAAGACACGAGTTTCATGTTCTGATAACGAAGGAGAGGGTTAAAGGTTGATAAGAGGAGAGGCAAAAAGGGATATGGAGAATGATTAGTGTGGGAAAAAGTGAAAGTGAGAAGAAAAAGGAGTGGGATTTGATTTGAATTTGAGAGTCGGTGATGAGAGGTGGCGTGAGATGGTGGCGGGCTTTTGTGTTTGAAAGAAATGGGGTTCTGACTTCTGAGTTAGAAGCTGTTCCGTTCACCTGATCTGAACCTGATCTGAATTTTTTAAGTTCTGATCTGATCTGATCTGAATTTTTCTGATCTGAATCTGATTTGATCTGAATCTTTCTGATCTGATCTGATCTGATCTGAATCTTTCTGATCTGATCTGAATCTTTCTGATCTGATCTGAATGTTGCTGAACTGATCTGAATGTTGCTGATCTGATCTGATCTGAATGTTTCTGATCTGATCTGATCTGAATCTTTCTGATCTGATTTGAATATTTCTATAATTGTAATTGTAATTACAATTATAATTATTAGATTTATAATTGTAATTAAAAATATAACTTAAATAAAATTACAATTATAATCATAATTATAAAAAAATAATAATTAAAATTAAATTTAAAATTATAATAATTATACCAATTACACTAATTATAAATACAGATACAATTATAAATGTAATTATATTTTTAATTATGATTAATTTTATAATTATTATTATTATAATTATAATATTTATTTCTATAGTCATAATTATGTCTATAATTACTAATTTAAATATATAATTACTCCGAAGTAATAATAATTACAACAATAACAACAAGAACAACAATCATATTAATAATAATGATGATTATAATTATAATTACATTGTAAATCATAATTATAATTATAAATATATTATATTATATTAAATTATATTATATTATATTATATTATATTATATTATATTATATTATATTATATTATATTATATTATATTATATTATATTATATTATATTATATTATATTATATTATATTATATTATATTATATTATATTATATTATATTATATTATATTATATTATATTATATTATATTATATTATATTATATTATATTATATTATATTATATTATATTATATTATATTATATTATATTATATTATATTATATTATATTATATTATATTATATTATATTATATTATATTATATTATATTATATTATATTATATTATATTATATTATATTATATTATATTATATTATTATAATATAATAATAATTTTATATTATTAACATTATTATTATATTATTATTAATAATATTATTATATTAATATATTAATATTATTAACAATAACTATAATATAATAATCATAATTAATATAATAATAAAAGTGATAAATCATGTTTGAATTTTTTGACCTGATCTGATCTGAATGTTTCTGATCTGATCTGAATGTTTCTGATCTGGTCTGATCTGGTCTGAATCTTTCTGATCTGATCTGAATGTTGCTGATCTGATCTGAATCTTTCTGATTTGATCTGAATGTTTCTGATCTGATCTGATCTGATCTGAATCTTTCTGATCTGATCTGATCTGATCTGAATAAAATAAGATTAAGGAATAAGTAATAAGATTAAGACAAACGGAACAGCTTCTTAAACACTGAATGCATATATTGTTTGAATTTTAGATTCACCTTCATTGAAAAGTTAATTGACAATCTAAGTTGTGAAAGGATCTTGGTCTATTTCCAAAGTTCTCAAAGAATTTGTGAAAATCTCATTTTCAAATCGAAATCTAATTAAATACCCCTCCATTCCAAAAGTATTTACCACTTTGACTTGAAACACATATTAAAAAAGTTAAAATAAAGTGAAAATATATGATTGTGTAAATAAAAAGTAAATTAATGTGAGTTATACAAAACATTCCAAAAATGGCAAGTAGAAAGAATTCTTAGTACATCTCAAAATGTAAATTTTCCAATAGTCATGTGAGACTTAACACAAGTATCAGGTTCAAGAACCAACTCATGAATCAAGTGTGGTTTAAGAAAATAGGATTAAAACGTTTGTATATTCTAGAATAGGACTATTGTGTTTTTATTCCCAAAATATGAGTATTTACACTCATGTTTTGGCAGTACCAGACTTTAAACATGACTGTATTTTCCAAATTTGGCAGTAATTACTCCTATTTTGAAAATAAAACATGCAATCCTGTTTTGGAATTCTAAAAAAAATTTACTCCTATTTGCGAAACTTTCGACTCTTATATTCTATAAAAAAATCATATTTCATTATAAAATATTAAAGTGATGGCAGTAATAGAAGATTATGTGGTTTGAATTTTTATGTTTGTCCCATATGTCAAGTACCTTGTAGCCTAATGACATCATTACTAATCTTACAAAGTGAAGGTCACAAGTTTGAGTCTCATCCTAATCAAGGATGTTGACATTAACAAGAACATATATTATAATAAGTTTAGAAGAAAAAAAAAGTTTAGAAGAATATTCCAAAAAAATTGTTTGCCTCTGTGAATGGATCACAGTTCCCACTTCATATAAATATTTATATGATAAGAAGTATATCATCTTCATTTTACACTGAAATTTTAAAAACAAATGTGTATGCATTAGTAAGTATCGCAAATTTTAATGGGGATCATTGATCACAAACGTAAATTTGGAAATATGGGAAGAAGACAATGAGGCATTATTTCGGTATTTGGGTGGGGATTCCATCCACAATTTAGTAATGTTGATTGACTATGTAATCAGTTGTTGAACCAAAAGTTTTTATCATTTGAAATTACTTAAAACCCCTCGAAATTTAAGATCTAAACCCTATTTCCTCATGCATTATATGTACTCTATTTGAAAATCCTAGACCACACATTGAGTCCATTACGAACAAGTTATCGACCAGAAGATGAAGGAAGTTGTTGACCACGAAGTTGTCAACCATAAACTGTCGATTACAAAGCTGGCTATCAGAGGAAGAAAGAAGTTGGCAATGAAGCTATGAACTAGAAGTTGTCAACCAGAAGCTGTCGAGGATGAAGTTGTGGACCGGAAACTTCGGGGAAGTCTGTAACTAGGTCTGACGATGATGCCTCTACCATGCAAGTTGATGGAGGGGGGATGTGCCCGATGGAGTTAAACAAACCTTAGCCTCGAAAGCCTCGAACGACAACGCACCATGTTTGTCCTCTCTGTCCACAAGGTTTGACCATTCTAGAGTTGACCTCATTTGACCAATGTGGTTGAACTAGTTACTAGCCTAGTCGACCTGTTTGAATAGACAGGTCGAATTGCTCGACAAAAGGTATGAATGAAATGAAATATAAAATTTATTTTTTAAAGATAACTTCAAAATAAGATGGATCCGTCACCGATCTTGGAGTGGGATAGACCTAGTGGGCGGCACTCTTGGGACCAGTCACGAGTGTCAATAATTGAATCTGGGACCGGCTGGTCTTGGTCCTAGTTTGGTCATTTTTCAGACTTCAACTATATGTATTCAATATGGTGATATATGTACTCTCTTCTTCATAGTAGTATTATCCAAATTATTTAATATTTATAATCATATTATTTCCTTTTTCATTTTCCCAGTATAAACTGGATTTTCCTTTTTGATAGAGAATTGTGGATTTGTGGTTCCATTATTTGTTACCACTTTCTCTTCTCGGTACAACTTTAGGCCACACATTCATAAGTTGAGGTTTTTAGGAAAATTACACTAAATCATTATAGTATTAGTTATAATATGGGAGTAAGTAATAATATATGTTGATGTAGTCTAATTTTCCAATGAATCATACTACATATGAAATAGTGCGTGTTTAGATAACAGTATGCAATTTAGATTTAAAATTTTCAACGAAGCGATCAAAGGTATCTTGTATTAAAAACAAACTTGAAGATTCCACCCATACTAAGAGTATCTAGATTGAGGTTTTAACTCGTCTGGTAGTGTTTTTGTGTAACTTTAATTGTCTCATCAATGTAGGTATTTATCTCGTCAAATAATATGACCTATGCATAACAACAATGATTAAAAATTACGATGTGTTTATATAACCAAAATGAAGATAGTTGACAAAAATGCAACATTTGATACTAATGAATATAATAGAAATTTTAGTTACTACCATCAAATTCGAATTTACATTTAAGTGATCAAGATGATTACTTTCTTTAATGCGATTGTGATATTACTTTTGTAACTTTTGTTAAATTCTTATTCATGAATTTTATTTTACAATGTTTATGGAAAACCTCATCTCCAGAAACCCTCCTTATTCATTTCCCATTAGTAACAATAATAATACTTCATTACAATGGGCATACATAGAACTAACAAAATAGCCCATTTGTGTAGACCTTTTTTCATTCCACTAGAGTATTAGTAGTAGTAATCCATGGAATAAGTTTAACACTAATACAACACATAAATAGCTAATTTTTAATTTAATCTTTATCAAGCTGCCTTCTGCTGCTTCTTTTTGGAACTTAGATGAGGATCAGACTGGTAGAAAACAATCTCGCCTTCATCACTAACATAGTGATCTTCACTCATGCTCTTCACCAAAATGGGGACGAGATGGAATGGTATAAGCCCAGATTTCTTGGGCTCTCTGTAATACTTCCCTAGCACTGGACTGGCCGCTTTGGTCTGCATGCATAAACAGGGGAGTTAGGTCCATAAAGAAACAAAGAAAAGGGCCTGTTAAAAAGCCCATGCCCTTCATAATAGGGAGTTAGGCCCATAAAGAAACAAAGAGAAGAGGGAGGGACTCTACAGCTTCAATCAAGTGATAGTGTGGAATCTGGGGGAATAAATGGTGGATGACATGAGTGCCAATGTCATGATGGATGTTGTTAAAGATTCCATAATCTCGGTCAATGGTGGTCAACCCTCCCCTCAAGTAACTCCATTCCTGCAATATAAAACATTCCAAGAGTCAAGATTTCAACAGGGATGGTTGGAAAGAAACTAAAGACTAAAATAGTCACACAAATTGTTTTTTCATATAAAGAAAACGAAAAAAACTGCATTAAAATAAAAAACAACACTTCTGGTCAAATCACCAAACTAATTACTCTAAACTAAAAAAATGCATTAAAACTAATTACTAATTCCATAGTATATGAGGAATTGCGGGACAGAATGGGTTGGGTTGGTCAGGACATCTCTTCAATGTGAACGGTAGGCCACAAATCGCGTTGTAGGCACTTAGTCCGTAAGAGTTTAAGCAATATTGGACATATATTCTGTGGACCAGGACCCGGTCATTATCAATTGAGTAAATGAACTGCAGGCTCCAAAAGAATATAAATGGAAGGTCAGTTAGGACACTCAAGCCACTCGAGTTTTCAAACGAACTCTTTTCCATGAATAATTGTGGGACTTTTCTGTAGTACTCCCTCCGTATCTTTAAAATCTTCCCATTTCAAAAGTAGGTAGATTAAGAATAGTGAAAGATGATATGAATTATTGAGGGTATGATGGGAAAATAGTGGAATAATGTGGTGGAATGTAGGATAAATCCAAAAAAAGTAGTTGTAATAGTGTATTATTTTAAGAATTATTGAGGGTATGATGGGAAGATTTAGAAATGGGAAGATTTTTGTGTTACGGACGAAAAAGGAAAGTGAGAAGATTTTTAAGTTACGGAGGGAGTATTAAATTATTAATTTGACGGTATTTATTTTATTTATTAAAATTTTAAAATACATTGCTAAATTGCTCTCATTTTAGTTTTTCAAGATCTATTTTTTATGTTTTACTAATAAAGAATGAAATATATCGATAATCAAAGTTGACTATTTACAAATGTAAATATGCAAGCATTGCAAGCATTGCATATTTAAAGAAATGTAAGATTTTAGAGAAAAACAGTAATTTGGCAGTATAGAATTAAAATCCCATTTCGAGAAGGGAATATTTTCCGAAGGAATGACAATCCCAAACCCGAATCTCAAATTATCAATAGTGATGGAAGAATATACGAAGTAACAAAGATGAGATTGTCAAACCTTGCCACGATACCAAGGTAGCCTTTTGTCATAGCCATGATGATGCAAGTAGGTGACTAGATCTAGCCACATCACAAATATCTGTGAACAAACACAATAATGATAACCATAGTCAATAGGAATCACTATCAATCTATCATGACATTCCAAGGCTGCAGGAGACAGACAATCGTCCTCAAGAACTAACCAATAGGGGGATGCCATAGAGCTTGAACACTGGAAGTGGACCAACCACTGTTGAGATGTAAAGAAGAAAAGAAGCCATCAATGACCAGCAAAGAGTTGAAATGGTAATGGACATTCTCTCCTCCGGCTGAAACAAGTCACTGTAAGGGCTGAAATGGGAACCCTTTTTCCCAGGAGATCTCCATATCTGTTGGATGAAATTGAAATTGGAAAAAATTAAATTACGTATTAGAGCAGAAAAAAGTTTGAAACTTCCCAGTAAAATGAGGTCATTACTCACCAAGTATATGGGATAGGCAAGCAATGGAAAGGGGATCTTGAATCTAAAAAACTTGGTAGAATCATCCAGCTTCTTGTACATACTCTCCGTTAACTACAATTTGATTGGAAGAGAAGAATGACGACACAATAAATACAGAACACAATTTGATCTCCGAGTATATCAAATTTTAATAATACCCATCTCTGTCGAGACATTTTAGAGCCTGTTTCTTAATCATGTTAATTTGCCAAGTTATGGCTAATGGACTAGAAAATCTAAAGAAGGGAGCGTTTATATTTAAGTTATTAATTATTAAACAAACATTACAAAAAAATGGTTACTAGAAAATTCAGCTTGCGTAACATTTCTTGGTAAAAATATGACTAATGAGTGAGGATGATACGGCCAAACAAAGTTGCCAGACTTGGTGTGGTTTCCTCATATGTACTCAAACAGGTATCAGCTATCTTAATTCTTTTTTTGAAAAAAAAAACATTTTAATTCTTAATCTTCGCTAAAAAAAACATGTAAACTGAGAGGGAGGTTTCAAATGGTAAGTTGGTAACTAAGAAAATATTGTATCTTTAAAGAGATTTAGTTTACCGGAACCCAAGATTCATCACGTTCAACATTTCCATGATTCTGGTGATGAGTTCTGTGGCTAATCCTCCTGCATTAATTAAGAACACAAAGCATTTACTGTTTATTACTCTGTATTCATTTAAGAACATTACAAAGAATGTCAGAGATCACTCAGTACGGGAAAAGATAAAATAAAAAACGGACCATCCATGATAAGGTACAAGGATGAAGGAGTGCAGGATGTGTCCAACCACGCTGTTTAGCAGAGCACTATCAGAAAAACTGCCATGTCCACTGTAAACCACATGGCCACACAATAATTCATTAATTAATCAAAATCAAAATACATACACAAAACAATAATGTAATAAAAAGTGAAATTATTACTTTAATACGGAGTATTAAAAAGTTAGGGTTGCAAATTAGGAAAGTGCAGTACCAATCATGGCCAAGGACAAAGATGGCCCAAAACATAGTGCCCTGTGCAGCCCAATAGAGAGGCCAAGCGACCCAAGAGTCAAGGTAAAGCACCAATGCCATCAAGGAAGCCACTACCAGAAAGTCCCTCAACACATAACTCAACGATCTCCATGGATTCTTCACCCAGCAATGCGGAGGAATGGCTGCCCTAATCTCTGCAATTCTAAACGGTGGAGCAGAACTTGGATCAAATTCCATTTCCACCCCCTTCACCTTCTTCTCCTCCTCTGGAAAAGCTCCCTTCAAATCGTATTCATCACTCACTCCCAATGAACCCATTCTTCCACCACCCCAGCAGAATTGGATGGATCCTCCCTGCCAGCAATTATTAACATTCAAAAGGAGAAAAGCGAAATAATGCGAATCCAAAAAAGAAACAGACAAATATACAGAGAATGCATCATTAAAAGCAGGACAAGTGGTTAACCACATGCAAAGTATGAAGCGGAAAGGAGAGACAAACATCAACGGCTATTCTTCTCCCAGATTCTCTAACTAATAAACAAATTACTAAAATAAAATAAAAAGACATTTAAAAAAATCCGAAGTTTTTGGAGGAAAACAAATGCTGTGAGGTTTGGCAGAAGGATAGCCCCGCCATCACCATCCATCCATAAGAAGCCTAACTTATCTCCATTTCCTAAATCCTAATTGCTTCGTCAACTCAACAACGCGAAGAAGAGAGATCTGTTACTGAAATCTATACATTTACACAGAACACGAAAATGGAAACTGAAGAAAACGTGGATTTTGAATAGAAGACGAACAGGCTTTTGAATACTTGGATTGAAGAAAATGGAGTGGCATTGATAGAAAGGAAAATGTTTGAGAAAATTGATGAAGAAAATAAATGGAAGAGAAAATGGGGAGAATTCATTCATTGATTCGTTTACCTTCAGAGAAGAGAGCTGGAAAAAATGCGAGTAGCAAGAGATGTGGAAGGGATGCATGTATAGTGTGCCTATTTATAGGGACTGTAAACAATAAAATGAAAAGGTTTGGGGTATTTTTCATATTTTTCTTACCCGTATTAAATTGCTGTTAGTCTTCCCAAGTTGAACAAAAATTTAGGGAGACTAGACAATCTCTCTCACTCCTCGTCGTTTTGTTTTCTCTATTTTTTCCCTTTAACTTTTTACTTTATACCCTTAACTGTTGATAATTAATTAATTATACCTACATTAGGTCCATAATTTTTTTTTTACGAATGGTCCATAATTTCTTGAACAAACTTTATTTTGCCTTCAGCTTTGCCTCCTTTGCTAATATTCCGTGATTTTTTGTTTTTGTTCACTTGTGTAAAAACAGTAAAAGATGGCTTCTTCCTAGCGACATTCCTTTCAATAATTACTACGTACGTACATGGTGTACTGTTACTTTTCTAAGCTATTATCCTACCTTGCTCTAATTTCACTCTATTGACCCCACCCTATTTACATAAGCATATTAATAAATAATTGGATCTTGAGGAAAGTTAAATCGCTCCTCCTACTTTGTACGGTACATCAATTAGCATTCGTACTTCAACTTTCATTAATTGTATCCTATTCTTAGTAAATTTCGTCAAAATCGATTTATGGCAAGTAACATGTCGTTCAGTGAGTTACTTGTTGACGTGGCACACACATAACAATCCCTGTCACGTTTCTTCTGTTTCCCCTTTCTTTGTCTTCCTTTTTTTTCTTTCTCTTTCTCCGTTTCCCCTTTCTTCCTCTGCGCAGGCCCATTTCTCTTCTTCCATGGCCTGAATTCATTCACATGGATTTCGTTTTCTTTTGATTTTCTTCTTCCTTTTCTTTCTTTCCTTCTCTTTTTTTCTTAATCTGTTCCTGTTCGTGTAGACGAGACAAAGCCAAGATTGCAGTGTAGCACCAGAGTTCGATTCGAGCCGAAAATAGAAGCGGCAATTCACCGAAGTTCGATTTGAACTAAAAGCAGAAGCGACGGTCCATCGAAGGGTTAAAGTATAATTCGCACAATGTGTAATGTACATTTTGTGGTTGAAAAACTTGTTACAAAAATGATTATAACATACTCCGTAATAGTTTAGTCACCTCTCATCTATAATATAGAAAGGACCCACAAATCGTTTTAGTTGGACCACATCTAAGGTGAATGAAATCATATACTCTATGAAAATGTGCAAAAGTGAGACTTATTATGAGTCAACTTTTACTATTGAATCAATTGCCACGTTTGTCTTCGCATTATATTCTTCTCTTTGTTTCACCGATTCATTAAAAAAATCATTTTTTCACATTCACCACATTATATCCTCTCAAGCGTCTACATTAATCTTTTGGTTTCTTCCTTAAATCATAAATCTGCAATTATAACTCTTCTCATACGTAGTATATCTTTTCAAAAAAAACTCTTCTCATATGTCATGATCTTTTATAATACTAAAGAAGCAAGTTCAGCATCCTATCCATGAATACATTACTCCGTATTAAAATATAAACCACATTAACCGTGAATATTGTGCCTGATGTGGTTTGACCTTTAAATACATTGACATTTGGGACAAACACAATTGAAAAAAGTTGTTTGGAGTAATTCATTCGTACGTAATTATTTCATAATTGCCTTTTGTGCTACGGTCTGAAACTGGTACTTAGAGTGAAAGCTGTAAAATATTTGTGGTGATAAAATGCAAAGATGATGGATGCAATGATGTCAATATATGGATGTACATAAACGGTCTAAGTTGGAGTAGAATAAAAAACACAAAGAGAGTTAGGACAAAATGAAAACTGTGAAAAAATATTTGTTAGTATGAAGAAGAAAATGTGAGAGGCCTTTAGTTAGTTATGTTTGGTTTTTCTTGGCAATGGTGGTGATCTTTGATCAATTATATAACAATTATATTCTTTTTGAAACATATAAAGTTTATATTTTTTATGATAACATTTTTACCAGAGAATATTTTTGTATTATTCTCACATTATAAATATTTTTGTATATAAATATATTACTGACCAAAATCTAGTATCTTTGACTAGAAAAATAAAAATGAATAACTTAAAAGGGATGGAGGGATGCATTTCAATATTTTATGCATTTTGAGTCTTTTGTGTAACACCTAACTTTAATTTGATCATATCTTGCAGGTTTCATATGATAATGTCTATAATGATATAAGGAAATAGGAGCACGTACTTTGTACAAAACTTATCATAAATCATTATGGAGTATATGCTCCTAATTAACCCTGCCCCCCCCCCCCCGGTCCACATGCTCTGAGACACTGGAACAGGCTTAATAGGTTGCTAAAGCCTAACAAGCGGCCAACCACCTCTCGACTGTGCCTTCGTACATACAATCGAGGGTTACAATAGCATACAAAGTTAAATAGTGATGACAAATCCGGTCTGAGAAGACTCCACCTTCTAAGTGACCCCTCACTCGGGACCCCTCGGCCAGCCGATGGATGAACCTCTAGGCTCCTTCCCCTCCAGTCATCAGCGGACTCATTTAACGCTCGAACATGTGCCCGATGCTGCCCTACTATAGAGCTTCGCTCCATAGATTAGCTTACATATGTACACGCATGCATTTAATGCACTTAGCATATATGACTCGTATAAATAGCCCCTTGTGCAGATGTAATGGTTCAAACATCCATCAATGCAATACACCCTTCTCTCTAGATGTTGCAAGTGGTATTCTCGCGTAACTATCAAATTAAAGTAATTTTAAATGCAATATTTTTAACTAGGAGTATTATACTCCCCCTAAATATAATTAATTATATTATTTCCATACTTGGATGACAATGCTAATTATATATGTCATTAATATAGTCACATTAATGTCTCACGTGTCAAAATATGATAATAAGATTTAAGAATGACAATAATTTAATTCTATTTAGGGAAAAAATGAAAAAAAATCTTATGTGTACCAATTTTGTGTATTAATTTGGTACACAATATGAATACCCTAATTTTTAAGTCATTATATGGAGTCATATATAACTCCATTATAGAGTCATATGGTTTAGGTGTCTCTACCAAAGACACTTATTTTTATAATGGGATAACTAATTATTATGAAGTAATTCATTAAAATTGTGATTTCTAATATGGGACGTTCTTTTTTCATAACGAACCTTTCTCAAACTGGATGAGACCATTTTACCATTCCAGTTACACCGAAGGGAAAATTTTACAAATAGGACCATAGGCCCATCCCATTTACCAAAATAGGACAACCGGCAGGTCTAAGACCATAAGTAACACAGAATGACGAAAATAACCTCAATTTAAAGCTAAAAAATCAACCGCCCATCCACATGCACTCTTTCGCCTCTTTCCAAAAAAAATTGTCTCCTACAATAACGTTTTCCGATTTTTTTTCCCGTTGCATTGAAAACTTGCTCTGAGACGATGCACGCTTCACCGTTAACGAGGAACACAGTTTCGTTCGAGTCTTCAGCCTAATTGAATCAAAATTCAATCAACGAAGAGCATAGAGCCACAACAAAGATGGTGAAGCGAAAGAAGGCTTCGACCGAGAAATGTGTAGAAAACGAAGACAAACATAATGAATTTTGTGACACTGATTTTGAGACGAAGGAGAAAAATGAACCAACTGAGGACAATAAAAATAAGAAGAGCGCAGAGAAAGAAGAGGTTCTTCCATCTGGCAAGGAAATCTCAGTACTTACTCTTTTGTTTAATTTTCAGAAAAATTGAAATAATGACTGCAATGGAAACGATTAGTTCATGTAATGCATTACTCACTTGCAATTTGATTGAGGTTTTAAAGTACTTGTAGTGTCACATTCAAACTTTCAGTTAGGTTTGTATGCTTTAGATGGATTAATGACTTGAAATTAGTGAATTGCAATTTGATTGAGGTGTTAATATAGTGTTCAGTGGCACATTCACACTATCAGTTAGGTTTGTATGCTTTAGATGGATTAATGACTTGAACTTAGTGAATTGCAATTTGATTGAGGTCTTAATATAGTGTTCAGTGTCACATTCACACTTTCAGTTAGGTTAGTATGCTTAGATAGATTAATGACTTGAAATTAGTGAATTTCAATTTGATAGAGGTGTTAATATAGTGTTCAGTGGCACATTCATACTATCAGTTAGGTTTGTCTGCTTTAGATGGATTAATGACACATTCACACATTCACACTATCTAGGTTTGTATGCTTTAGATGGATTAATGACTTGAAATTAATGAATTGCAATTTGATTGAGGTCTTAATATAGTGTTCAGTGGCACATTCACACTTTCAGTTAGGTTTGTATGCTTTAGATGGATTAATGACTTGAAATTAGTGAATTACAATTTGATTGAGGTCTTAATATAGTGTTCAGTGTCACATTCACACTTTCAGTTAGGTTTGTATGCTTTTGATGGATTAATGACTTGAAATTAGTTAATTGCAATTTGATTGAGGTTTTAATATAGTGTTCAGTGTTGCATTCACATTTTAAGTTACATTTGTATGTTTTAGATGGATTAATGACTTTAAATTAGTGAAATGCAATTTCATTGAGCTTTTCATATATTGTTCATTCTCATCTTCATACTGTTAGGTAATGTAATATGTTTGAGATGAAATTATTGACTTGAAATTGTGATTTATATCAGGTCATTGTAAGATCATGCACAAGAGGGCTGCTTGACAATAAGAAGGAATTAAAGGTTAACTGCTTTGCAAATTTGCACAATGGCATTGAAGGAATAAATGCATTGCTAAATGAGGAACAACTTGAGGAACTTAAAAAGACTGCATTTGGGAAAATGTTAGACATTGGAAATGTACAGTGGATGATAGAACAATTACTGATTTTAATAGTAGAAAATCATGTCAAAAAGTTGAACAACAAAGTCTACAAAGACCGCTTCATTTTCGACATTGGTGACAGACTTGTATACTTCTACAAGAAAGAGCTTGCATTACTAACAA